CCTGCTGAGAAATGTCACAATAAACAGACAGGGTTCACGACCTCAGGAGCTTACAGAGCTGCAGGAGAGCCAGGTCTCAAGATAGAGTCCCAAGGGCCACCCGAACACCTAGTCCATCTGCTTGAGTGGGGAGGAGGGAAGACAAGGCTACAGTGGCAACTTCAGGGCCCTGGATGCTGTCCACGGGCTAAGAAGAGAACACAGGCTCAGGGTCAGACAGACAGAGTGACCTCCTGGCCCCACTGTGTCCCGTGGGACAAGGCCCTCGACCTCCCCCAGCCTCAGTTTCCCCACCTGTAAACAGTGATAGTTATACCAACTGAGCAACTTGCTGTGAGCTCAAGTGAGATAATGTGTGGCAACAGCTCAGCTTGGTGCCTGGCGCACAGTGGGGACTCAAGCAGTGCCAGTGCGGTGTCATTCATCCTGCAGTGGCCGAGGGGAGCCAGGGACGATGTTCTGGGGCATCTTGGACAAGAGGGTATCCCCGTCAAGAAAGCAGCTCCCCAACTGCCTTTGACAGGGTGAACCAGAGACTCCTGCCACTGGGGCTGCACGCTAGTCCCAGAGGGCAATTTCCTCGCCTTCTCCCACATAAATATTATATGCAAGTGTTTTTAAGTAATTTCATCATGAAAAGAAGCGATTTAACATAAGTAGTACCCGGGATTCTTCATGAAATATGCATCACGCAATTAGGTCTAAAAGCGAGAGGTGAGGCCTCGCGCCCTGCTCGGGCCGGCAGCTGCGGGCTGAGTGATGTTTTATTAAAGCCCGTGATTATGGGAAGAGGTGGGGCCTGTTATTAGGCTGGCGCGCCAGGCGTGTTTGATGATCCTGGTGATGAGGAGGTGCTTTTTGTGATGATAATGAGCGATCTGAAGGCCGTGACAGCCCCGGCACCCCCGCCTCAGAGCCTTACGAGACTCATTAGACAGGTCAGCCACCAGAGACACCCCTGATTGTGACTTTGCTCTCGCACGATGTCCTATCAAAGGAGACAGGGCTGGCGCAGGAGCTGGACAGGTGGTGGCAGCCTGTCTGAACTCCCCAGGGACCGCTGCCTTTCCAGAGGGAGGCTGGGGAGGTGGGTGGCCGGGACGCGAGGGCCCTGGGTTCTGCTGTAGCCGACGCCCTCCTTGTTGTGTGCATCGGGCCAGAGTGTTGTTCTCTCTGAACTCAGTTTCCACCGAAGTGCCCCAGGAGGTTGAGGGAGATGGTCCCCAGGCCGCTCTGGCTCCAGGGCTGCTGTCCGAGCGGCAGAGCATCCCTGTGCCTGCTGGTTGTCGGGTGCATCCCCGGTCCCCGGGAAACTTTAACTTTTTCTCTCCCTGTGCTTGATGTCTCTGTGTAGAGTTGGGGGTCTACAGCATGTCTGGCAGCTGTTTTTAAATGTTCAGCTGTTGTTAGGTGGCATCTCGCGGCAACCCTGTGGCCAATCAGGACACGTTGTGACAGCACAGCTCTCGGGGTGTGTTTTGACGAGGCTTTGCCTGACCTTTGCATGAGTTGAGGTTTGACAGGTTGTCTCGGAAAGAAAGCCCACTCACCTCTCAGAGCCTGCGGGCCCCATGGGTGGGTCACCTCCGAGCCGGGGCTGCGCCGGCCGGGACACGCCCTCCCCAGTCCCTGCGATGGCCTCTCACTGCCAGCCCGTGCTGCCTCTGACCCGCCATCAGCCAGGCAGCGTCAGTGCCTTGGGGACTGTCTCTGGAGCGGATGGTGCTGAGGTCAGGAGCGAGGGCTCTGGGAAAGGCCTGCAGCGGGGGAAGCAGCAGCACCACTGCCAGCCGCCGTGTGGCCGGGGGTCAGCCTCCTGCCCACCGAGCCTCCGTGCTCAGCACACGGCCTGGCTCACGGAAGTGCCCAGTGAGAATAGGACAGGGGCACATGGGCAGCAGTGGAGGCGGGGGTGGTTGCCCTCAGGCCCCTTCCTGCAAGAAGCCTTCGCGGAGTAGGCGGAGGTTGTGCTTGCACACAGGGAATCCAGAACCGTAGGCCCAGAAGCACCTCAGAGACCATCCAGTCAGGCTCCCCAGGGATCCAGGGGATGGGCACGGCCACAGGGCACAGTGCGTGAGCCCAGGAGGACGCCACTCCTGCAGGGGTTCCCACTGGGAGGCCAGCTTTTGGCCTTTCAGCCTGTGCCAGGGAACGGTCAGGCCACGGGCTGAGGCTGGTCACGGGGTCCGAGTTCTCTGCCGAACCTCATGACTGGCCTGCCCCCTTGGCACAGCCTGGCCCGGTTATAACCTAGCATGTCCTGAAATACAAGCGTCAGACATAGTCCTGGAGGGTCAGGAGGGAGTTCAGGAGCTTCCCTGCCTCGCACGCACCCATGTCTGTTGAGGGGGGACATCAGTGTCGCATCTCTAATACCTGGTGGCCGTGCCGACCCCGTGGCCTGGGAACGGGAACTTCTGCCTCCATTTCTGGCTGAGTCAGCTGTTGCCACCATCACGGCCACGGCCCTTGCTGGATGTTCTAATGGCAACCTGTGTGAAACTGTCCGGTTAACCCATGGGAGTTACTTTCCTTAATCTCCTCAAACATTAAGTCAGCTCTCCCTGCAGCTGCGTGCCTGCGCACCAGCCTTGGTGCAGACTCGCTCCGGGCCAGCTGCTGCGGGCCTGTCTCACACACCCTACGCTTTGCACCCCAGCCAAAGGTATGTGAGAGCATGGTCTGGCACCCCAAAACACGACTCCACTCAACTCACAAAGGGGCATGATGTGCCCGAGGTCCTGCCCCTCCCTGCCTGAGCCTGGACTCACCTGCAGCTCCGGCCCCTTCTCTCCCCACACTCACCCCAAGCTTTTTTAACTATTCCCCGTTTCCTTAGCCTCATTCAAGCAAGCACGGTCCTTTCCAGGCCGGCAAAGGCCCGCGGTGTCTCCAGTGCGGTGGGTGGCCGAGTCTTCGCTCGAAGGGGGCTATACATTTTTCACCGCACGCACACCATTTCCTTTCTAACAGCTTAAGCAAGTGCGCCTCCTGCTTCTCAGATGTGTGGAGGCAATTCTCCAGTGAAATGACCCTTCACTGCGGAGCAGAACTTGCCACAGGCTCTGTAATTAGAACATTGTCAGCCTTAAAAAATCTTGATTTAAATTTCAGTTCTTTACAGGAATTATTCTCTCTTGAAACATAATTGCTCTCCAAACGATTTCCTTTAAGCCGAGGGTGACATCTCTAAATACATTATTACGAGCAGATGTATTGCTCAGTGCCTGCACTTCATTAAGCATTTGCTCTGCCCATTTGAAAATGGTCCCGGAGTCCAAATTGACGCGTTAATAGGACAGGCGCTCATGGCGAGGGGAGCCCAGTCCTGACTGGGAGAGGTGTGCAAGCCCTCAGTGCCCCCGGGACCGCAGCCAGAGCTAGAAGAGCCGGAGCTTAGAAAGGAAACCTGTGTCCACACGGAGCTCTCGGCCTCACCAGGGGTAGGCCTTGGTCTCCTGGACGCCAGACATCAGTGTCCAGCCTCGATAACTTGGAGGAGGTGGCAGGAGGTCAGAGCCCCAGCTTCCTCACTAAGTGGCAGATACTCTGTATATTGGACTGTGCTTTGGAGACCTCAGCATCCACAGATGTGGCAGCAAAATCATAAGGGCCAGGCTTGGAACTGAGTGGGCAGGGAAAGGGCAACCTGGGCAAAGGCAGGTTGATGGGGAGTGAGAGATCTGATGTGACAAGGGCCCTGGGTGGGAGGTGGGAGAGGTCCTCTCGGCCAGGTGGAAGCAGCATGGCCTCCACAGTCCCTGAGCTGCACCCCACCCAGCCTGCTGGTACAGCTGGCAGGCTGCAAGGGGCACGGGCACAGGGCTGTGCTCTGATCTCCAAGGAGCCCGCCCACTGCCCTTTTTAGCAGGTGCTGGGCACGGTGGACACAGACCTTACTCTGTGGAATTCTTAGGAATTCGGGCCCTAACCGGACTGAAGGGTCCCAGGTTCTTAAGGTGGATAAGTAATCTATAATTTAAAAAAAAAAAACAAAAAACCGTAATATGCTAATTAGACCGGACATCCTTCTGGACGTCCTTCCGGGACGAAGCTGGAAAGATCAAGGCAGCCGCAGCTGCGAAGGCCTACTCTTGCATGAATTTTGTGCATTGGGCCTCTAGTCATAATATAAGAAAGCAGGTGCAGATGGAGGCATGATCCTTCATCATGTGCTGGTCCTCGGTGCAGGCAGAGAACGGAGCTCTGCCTGGGGGAGCCTGGAAGACTTCCCAGCAGAGGAAACATTCAAGCTGGGCCTTGGAGAAGGAGGCAGGGTTTGCTGAGCAGAGGGAGGAAGAGGGGAGAGTGCCTACCCAGGGGCAGCTCTGAGAAAGAGCAAATGTTTTCCCTTATTCCATTGGCTAAAACTAATCACATGGGTACAGTGGCTGCAGGGAAGCTGGGAAATGTAGTCCCAGCTGGGCAGTCCCTTCCCAGTGACAGTTCCATACTGTATTGAATGGCACAAAGCAAACCCCTCTGCCCCACCTACTGCCTGTCATCCCTGCCACACTCTGTCCTCATCTGAAAACTGGGGGTGATGGCTCCTGCCTGCCCACTTGTCCGGGCATCAGGGACTCACACTAAATACATGACTGCATGAGGGACAGGAAGACAGCCCTCGGTCTTGAGGTGGAAAGACTCCCCTGCACCAGTGTCTGCTGCTGGTTCCTAGTTTGATGCTGGGACGAGGGGAGCTCCTCATTTTGGCTGGGCCTGGGCTTTGGTCTTGACTTGAAGAGGTACTTCATGGCTGGGATCTCAGCAAGGAACCTTTGCACCTTAGCAGGGATTGAGCCAGAGGGGTAGTTCTCCAGGTAACGAGTGTGAATATGTGACACGTGCTTGTTCACAGCTAAATCTCGAGTCGCTCTCTGAGAAATTGCTTACCTGGCCCTCAGCCCTCCTGCACCTGTCCCCTGGGCCTGAGCAGTATGGCTGCCTTGGCCTTTGTCATCCTGCAGATCCTAATACCCTCTGTGTTTTGTTCACAGGAGCAACCAGGGCTTTATGCACATGAAACTGGCCAAAACCAAAGAGAAGTACATTCTGGGTCAGAACAGCCCCCCGTTCGACAGTGTCCCAGAAGTCATCCATTATTACACCACCAGAAAGCTGCCCATCAAAGGCGCTGAGCACTTGTCCCTCCTCTACCCGGTGGCTGTGCGGACCCTGTGAGAGGACCAGCCTCGCCCTGCGCTGACAGGGCCCAGACCTGGAGGAGCCGGAGCCCCCGCCGACCAGCGTGTCCAGTTCGTGTCGTGTGTATGGTACTGGCACACCACTGCATGTCTCTAGAATGCTGTTGCCACTAAGGGGGCTGGGAAAGGCCTGGATAGAGACAGAGGGACGGCCCACACGCCGCCCCAGCCCCCACCCCCACCCCCTCCTTGAGTTTCTGTGAATTAAAATATTTGCAAATCCAAAGAGATGCCTTGCAGGATGAACAAAGGCAAGCAGCTCCGAGGGGAGGGCCGGGCGGAACCGCCTGGGTTGCAGCGCTTTGCTTTGTTCTCCCGCTGTCAGGAATTCACACCTGTGCCAGGAGCACAGTTTTCCCACCAGGGCCCCACCGGTGTGGGGAGCCGAACGCTGGTGCTGGGAGAGCCGGAAGGCCTGGAGTCCTGCCTCCCCTCTGGTGTGCGTGTGTCTGTGTGTGTGTGTGTGTGAGTGTGCGCACATCCGTCACACACAGATGTGAGTAAGCCCTCTAATCCACTTTATCACTCGGTGTAATCATTAGATCTTCAAGGAATCATTGTGCGGTCAAAAGAGGATTCAATTATTTATGACTAGGGTGTGTAAATAAAATAGTCATTTAATATGTATTCTCATCCCTTTTTTTATACCACAGAGGGTCTCTGAGGGGCCAGTGCTCACCATGGCGTGTCTCTGAGCATGGGTGGTGGAGGGAGGAAGCCGAGCCCCAGCTCAGGGCTGAGGCAGTGGGTGGGGCAGAGGGTTGGCTTTGTCCCCTGAGAGTCAACCTGCAGAGGGTGCAGCCAGATCCGAATTCAGGCTCCAGCATGGTCACCTCAAATGTTGACCCAATAACCAGACTCCCCATTATTTGGCCTGGCAGCCCTGTGAGGCATTTAACGTACGAGGAAAAGGAGGCTCAGAGGGAAGGTAACTCGCCCAGGGTCACAGCTCATAAGCAGAGGATGCTTTTGAGCCCAGACTGGCAGACTCATGGCCAGTGCTTTCGCTCTACATGGCCTCGCTCCTCGCTGTCATCCTGCTCCTGGGAGAAAGCGAATCCTGACTCTCCTGGCCGTGAGCCCTGCTGGTCATCCACTGTTTTCACACATAAAAACGCTCCCACACAGCCCGGCCGGTGTGGCTCAGGTGAGCGTCAACCTATGAACCAGGAGGTCACGGTTCGATTCCTGGTCAGGGCACATGCCCGGGTTGCAGGCTCAATCCCCAGTGTGGGGTGTGCAGGAGGCAGCCAATCAATGATTCTCTCTCATCATTGATGTTTCTATCTCTCACTCTCCATTCCTCTCTGAAAGCAATAAAAATATAAAGACAAATAAAAAATATTGTTTTAAAAAAAACACTGCCACACAGACTCCCCTCTGTCTCGTCCCTGCCCTTGTGGGGAGCAGGGATTCTCCCCACATGTTCGGGGCAGACCAGGCTGCTGTTACTCAGCTCCCTCCTTTCCTACCTCCTCACCGCCACACTGGCTGAATGAGGATGGAAGAAATAGAAGAATCCGCAGCCAGAAAGGAGTCTCAGTGCCTCCACCAGGCGCCCACTGGTCCGCGGGGAATGGAAGTTCGATGACGTCCCCGCACCTGGGGCCGAGTTCCAGCAGCATCACCAGCAGGCCTCAGCATTCAGCATTGCCAGGGCTCTGGAGGCTGGGCTCACTGTTCGGATGTGGAGACGGCCCCTCGAAGGACCAGGACCTGCTGGCTACCTGTCGAGCCGGGGCAGAGCGGGCTAAGCTGCGTGGCTTTGGGAGGCTGCCGTGGATTCCAGTGGTTTGTGACCAAAGCCGTGACCTTGGAGACCAGTCTTTCTGCCAGTCCCCCTCTTGGGTCACCCTCCCAGGTGCTGCCCATCAGTCTAGGTGGCCTCCAGCCCCTCCCACCTGTGGGTCCCACAGACCCATCCACCTTGTGGTTACCACGTTGGCTGTGGCCTGAGTCTGGTCTCGGAAGACTCAACCTTGACCTTTCACCTGTTTTATTTTCTGAAACATCCTTTGAGGCAAGAAAATACCTGGAGTGATTCACGCTTTCCGTGTGTGTGTGTGTGTGTGTGTGTGTGTGTGTGTGTGTGTGTCAGAATGAGAAAATGAGTTGGCACATGGCCAAACAGAAGTACCAAAGGAGAAGGGGATCCTTAGGACAAGGTTAGAGATTGGGGACCTCGGAGGCAGCCTCGGTTTCTCCAGGGCGCTTCCCGAGGCCGCGGGGCTGAGCAGCAGTGCAGGGAGCCCTGGTCCTTCTGGGGAGACAGCCCTCCAGGTTTCTCCTCGGAAAGGCTGCGTGCCTGTGGGCTGAGGCGAAGCGACGCCTGCCCTCCGCCCGGCCTTCGCGCCTTTCAGGGGATTCCTGGCCCTCCCTCCTTCCTCAAGTCCCCCAGGGAGGCCCCTCAGGGACGGAGGCCAGAGGGAGCCCGCTTACAGGATGGGAGCAGCTGAAAGGAATTTTTTTCCTTAATTTTATGAACCTCTCCCTCTTCTTCCTCTAATTGTGGCCGTTTCCTCTGTCAGCGTGGATTCATGTTTTCTTGGACATCCAACAATTGCAACGGCTTTTCCCTTTCAGAAACACTCATTTTCAGGTTACTGGCGTTAGTTTGGTTTTTGTTTTGGCTTTTGTTTTTTTTCATCTGCTGCCAATTAAGGGGGGGGAATGAGCTGGATTTCTTTGAGGAAAAAAATAAAGCTCCCTGCCACACAGTCTCTGGCCCTCGGCGTTTGGTCGCAGAACACAACCTCCAGCCACTCAGGCCTCGCTCAGAGCCATGGGACTTTTTTTTTTTTCCTTTCTTTCCCTTTTTGCCGGCTTCATTATCGACCATAATGACCCGACCACTTCAACGCCTGTGTCCTTGAGCGCCAAGGAGTCCGGGGCCTCTTCGCCCCCTCCCCCAAGACGGCATCCACAGGAGGAAGAGGCTGTGTGGGGAGAGGCCCCCCTGCCTGCCTGGGAACAGTCACAGGTGCGGACCCCTTCGCCGGGAAGGGAAGCGGTGCCGGGCTCCTCCCAGGGCCTCTCTGGGCGGGTGCCCCGCAGCCAGCGTGTGAGCTGTGAGCGTGTGAGCTGTGAGCGCGGCCGCATCCACGGGGGGAGCCCTGGGCCTAAATCTGCTTCTGCTGCAGCGTCGGTCCCAGAGAGTCTTGCTTTAAGGCTCGGAGCACCAAGCTCTGCTGGCCACTCTCAGACCTGGTGTCGTTTGCCAAGGGCCTCCAGGACAGACGGCTGCTGGGCTGGCGTTGCTCTCAGACCCAGGGACAATGGTGCGGCAGCCAGCAGGCAGATGGGCAGGCTGGCACTCGGAATTGGCCCGTGCAGAGTCCTGGCCGGGCCCAGTGAGCTGCCACATCACTCCTCACCTTCCAGGGTCTGTCACCAGCAAAGACCAAGGGGGCACGTGGTTCAGAGGGAGCAGCCTGGCCCCGAGCCTTCGACGAAGGAGCGTCTTCCAGAACCCCACTCGGGGCCCTCCCCTCTCCTCAGTGTCGTGTCCCTGCCAGGAGACTTGCGCCAGCCACCCACAGCGACAGGGCTGCGATGTGCTAATTCCGCGTGATAAGCTGAGCAACGATGTCTAGCGCCCGTGAACCTTTTCATAGACAAGTGTCTTGCTTAGATGCGCCTCATTGGACACGCGTGTTTTATTTCTTAAAAATGCAATCGTGTCCCCAGGAACCCAGTGTGATCGCCTTCTGCTTGCGGAGGTGGAGGTTCTGCCATCATCCCCCAAAGGTGGGTAGTTACAGGGGGAAAGGGAACCCGCCTGCTTCCTAATTAGGAGAAAGGCAGAGCCCTGACGAGCTCGTTAAGTGAAAATGAATGAACCTGTTCAGCAAACATTTGTCAAGTGCCCTCTGGTCCTCAGGCCTTGGTGGATAAAGAGGAGAATGGGCCCCCACCCCTACCCTCTGGAAGTTCCCACTGTGGGGAAGACAAACAGGCACCTGCAGAGGCCCCAGGGTGCTGTGGAGCCCTGAACAAGAGGGAATTGCGTCTGCTGTCTGCTTGTCGCCATCAGCAAAAGTGGGGCCTCGAGCCAGGAAGCAATTCTTGGTCTCCCTGAAGATTTGGGGAGACGCGTGACTGGCACACAATCTCCGCTGTTTGGCCTCACATGTGGTTGGCTGACGTCTTAATGCTACCCGAGGCCGGGAAGCCTGAGGCGGGAGGACGGAGGGTCTGCAGCCCCAGCCCCTCCTCACACAGTTGAGCACCTGAGGATGCACTGGGCCCCTGCAAGCCAGGAAGCCTGCTCTGGAGTGGACCCCCGACCCCACCTGGCCCTGGAGGAACTCACTGCCTCTCCTGTCCCTCCCTCCCTAGGAGGGGCCCACTGCCCCCTGTCTCCCCCACTGCCCCCAGGACTCAGGCTTTGGTTCTCCTCTCCTCCCTCCTCTCCCTATTCCAGCGACCCAGAATCCACACCTCCACTCCCAGGCGCCTCAGAGCGCGTCCCACCCCGCCCTGCAGGCACACAAAGGGCCTGTGCTCTGTGACCAGGAATTTCCGGAGGGGGAAGGAGAACATGCCTCTGGTGGTCACCTCTCACCTCCTAGTCCATGCTCTGAGGAGTTCTTTATTTCTTTTCAGTTCAATTTAACAAACATTGAGCATGAAAGGAGGGCCCTGGCCGAGCTGGTGACATGGAGCGGCAGGAAGCGGTGGGTGGTCGGACGCCTGCCTCACTGCATCTGCACCAAGACTCAGCAGTGCAGGAAACTGAGGCTCAGAGAGGTACAGGGCCGGGTTCAAGGCCACACAGCCAGTCGCTCTCCACATGCCTCAGGTGTTTGTGGGCGGCCGCTCAGAGGGTCACCTTGGCCAGCACAGCTCTGGGAAGACTGGGGCAGGGGTGGGGATTCTTCCCGGAGTTTTGAAGCCAATTGTTTCTCGCTGGCTCCCTCCTGAGTGGGCGCATCTCAGGGCTGTAGTGACCAATGTCATCTCTGGTTTGCGGGACAGTTTTGAAGGGGATGAGGTCTGCCTGGGCAGCAGGGCATCACCAGTGTGGTTCTGGCGCCCTCATGTGGTCTTTTTCGGTATTGCACCCAGTCCTAGGGGGAGGGGAAGGCAGTTCCAAGTCACTGGAGGCCAAAACAGGGAACAGGCAGACTTGTAAACAGACACCTGGCAGGCCATGCGGGCTGGTGGATGATGGGTGCTGAGCCCAGGTACAGACAGCTGAGAAAAGGACAGAAGAAGTGACATTCTGAGCCATGTGTCACTTGCAGGGAGTAGGGGCATCCCAGGGAGAGAAGCCAGAGTAAGCAAGAGCTGGAGGCTCCCGCTGGCTCCCAGGCCAGAGCTCTCACCTGTTCTACTCTAAGCCCCCCAATTCATGCCGACTGAAAAGGAAGGCGAGGCGGATTAGAACAGCTCCGTACTGCGCATATCGAAAAATGATTGCCACCGTAAGGTGAGTTACCCATCCATTATTTCACATAATTACAATTTTTTTGTGGTGAGAACATTTAAAATCTAGTCTCTTAGCAACTTTCAAGTGTACAATTCAGTATTATCACTATAGTCACCACGATGAAGATTAGATCCTTGGAACTTATTCATCTTGTAACTGTCAGTTTGAACCCTTTGACCAATGTTTCCCCATTTTC